CCAAGCCCTCCTGGGCCCGGATGAGATGAAAGGGCACAGATTGCCTGCGGCAGTTCAAAGGCAGGTGGAGGGGCGTCAGCAGAGAAGCCGTGGGTGTCTCGGCCTTGGGAAACAGCTGCTCCTTTTGTCCACTCTGGCATGACATCAAAGGGTGAACAGATAAGGTGGGTTGGAGCCCTAGAGCCCTGCCCTAGATGTCCACTCCAGTCCCCAGACCCTTTAGCTTTGAGATACAGAAGGACAGAGTGTGCTATTAATAGCTTTATTTCAGATTTCCACTGTTCAACACCACCAACTAGCTGAAGTTGCTCTAGGGGCACTCTGAAGGGGGTAGTTGAGGCCTGAAGTCTTCTTCTTGGCTAGAACAGCTGCAGTTTTGAGGTGTGCTTTAAGTGGGAAAAGAATAAAGAATTCTTTCCAAGGTACCCATCTGCCGAAGAAAAGCTTGGAAGCAATACTCAATACCCGAGCAGGTCCAGTGACCCACACAGAAACCAGTCCTGGCTTCTGCAGATAACTGGGGCCACAGATACTCCAACCTTCCTTCCTGGGTTTGTTTCAGAGCCCTCCACCACCTCTCTCTCACACACACCCTTCCAAGTCAGCTAGCAGAGCTGAATGGTCTGACATTTCCGTCCATTTATAAAAAATCAGTAGAGAAGCAAGAAGGAATGATGAAACCCAAGAAACTCAAGAATAAGCTTTCCCTTGCTCTGGGTACCCATTGCAGAATGTTCTAGGAACTTGAGGCTGAGGAGCTCCCTGCTGAAGCCAGGCTGCCTCTTCATTCAGCTCTCATAGCTTTACATCCTCTTCCACGTGCTGCAGCCTCTGACTGTTGATCATGTCCCTTCTCACATGTTAAAAAGCACCAACTGCACACCAGGCACTGTCCTAGGTGCTGGGAGGCAGAAAGGAACAGACAGACAAAAAGCTAAGACAAGAGTACAGAAATAAAGGTCTAGTAGCTAGACAGTGGGTTCCATGACAAGGTGGCCGTGGGAGAGGAAAGGCATTCAGGACCAAAGTGGTGGACACAAGGAACATTCCTTCTAAGGAACGTCGGGAACACAGTGGTCCTGTCCACACTAGACAGGACTTGGAAGTGGTATGATGGTCCTTGTCCTTCAGTTTGAAGAACTAAGGATGGGTATGGGGGTGGGTTGGACGCAGAGTTGTTGGGGCAGAAGCCAACTCCTCCAGAAGGTTGCTCTAGTACGTCATAGACAAACCTGAAGTCGGGCCTTCCTGGTTCCGTCTGTCTCTTGACTTCACAGATGGAGACATGACACTTCCTGTTTCACTGTCAAGTTCTAGTTTCCCTTCTCCTGCTGTCATAAAGACCATGACCAAAGGGACTCAGAGAAGAAAGGGTCTGTCTGTCTTACACTTCCACATCAGGCTGTCGTGGAGGGAAGCCAGTCCCGGGACTGGGGCAGGAGCAGAGACCATGCAGGAAACCTCTTGCTGGCTTCCCCTTTCCTCTTCCTCAGCTTGCTTTGTTAGTACAACTCAGAACCACCGGCCAGGCATGGTCTCACTGGCAACAGTGAGCCAGGCCCTCCCACGTTAATCATTAAGCAAGAAAATGTCCCCACAGCCCTGCCTCCAGGCCAGCTAATGGAGATATTTTCTCATTGGTTTCCTCTTCCCAGATGACCCTAGTTTGTGTCACGGTGATGAAAATGAACGAGCACAAAGTATAAAATGAGAGCAGTTGCATGGAGCATGGGGCCATGCACGTTGCTTGGTTGTTATTCTGACTTTCAGTCCAGAGTCCCTGAGTCCATTACCCTGGACCTCGTTAAAGTTAGGGGTTTAATTAAGAAACATGTGCTACTCTGGGAGCCTTCTGGGGTTCGAGGCTTCTTTAGATTTTGCCCCCAAAAGATTTTTCTAGAAGGGCTAGGGAAAGAGCTCAGTTGGTAAAGTGCTTCTTGTGCAAACATAAAGACCTAAGTTCCATCCCCAAAACCTACATTTAAAAACCCAGGTTTAGTAGTGGCATGTGCCTGTAATCCTAGAGTTAGGGAGGTAGAGAAAGGAGGGTCTCTGGAGCCAACCAGCCTAGATATTTGGCAAGCTTTGGATCACTAAGAAACTGTATCAAAAGAAAAAAAAAAAAAAGAGGTGACTGGTACATACACATGCACATGTGAGCACACCCTCTTGCACACATAAGCACACACTCAGGATTTGTGGATAAAAAGGTCAGTGTTTGGATTAGTTCATCGTGTCTTCAGATAACTGCACAGGACTGGCCCAAAAAGCAGAGGCCGGAGGAAGGCTGGTGCTGTGAGAATCCAGCATAAACAAGAATATCTGGGCAAGGCTAGCGTGGCTTTGCCAGGGACCTCACTATTACCGGACAGCCCCTTCCCTCTCTAGCCTCCCAGGATGAAGTGTGGTCAGTCTACTCTGGGCTAAGGGAAGGCAGGACCGACCTGGCTCTCACTCCATCCCTTGCTCCCCTCTGCAGATCAGCAATGCTACCCTGATCATCTTTGTCAGCTACTTCGGCAGCCGGGTGAACCGCCCACGGATGATCGGCATAGGGGGGCTCCTCCTGGCGGCAGGGGCCTTTGTCCTCACCCTCCCACA